GTGTACCTACTAGGTGCCATTGTGGTAATTCTACCCCATGCTTCCATGCTTGCTCCCACTCACCTGCACCTCTCCAGCTAGTTGATGAGACAGACATGCAAGAGCCTCTTCCAGGGTGGGATTTAAAAGATATCTTTAGAAATGATTTGCAATCCTAAGTATGGGTATTTGAGCTGCTCTTTCAAAAATGAGGAAATGTCCCGCCTCTCTCCTCTATTTATTCTCACTCATGATTTCACCCAGGTTTAAATGCCATCTGGATCCCAGTGACTTCCACATTTATATCTGCAGTTCTCTCTCCTGAAATCCAGATTCATATATCCAACTGCCCACTCCTCACCTCTTCTTGGATGCCCAACAGACATCTCAAGCTTACCACGTTCGAAACTTCTGATTCCCTTCCCCACCCACGAATATGCTTCATCACAGCTTTCCCCAGCTCCGCTGATGGGAATGTCTTCCCTCCAGATGCCTGGGCTAAAGCATTACAGTCATCCTTGACTCCTCTCTTTCTCTCACATCATAAATCCAATCTATCGAGAAATCTCGTGGCTCTTCCTTCAAAATATACCCCATCATTTCTCACCGCCCCCTTCACATTGGCCTGGGATCATGATTGACATTGTTGAATCATTGGGATGGTTGCAATTATCTCCCAGCGTTGACCCTTGCCCCTCTACAGTCTCTTTCCAAATATGCAACCACAGTGATACTTGTCAGCAGATCGTGTCACTCTCTGCTCAAAGTCTTAGATTGATTTCTCATTACAGTGGCCTCCAAGAGAAAGACTGATAGGGACGATTGACCCATTTGGAACAAAAGTCTACACCTTCTCAGGTAATGAAGGCAGTGCCACTGTGTCCTTCTGGATGATGCTGATTTCCACCAGTGGTCCCATGCCAAGGCACAGGCAGGAGTTGCAGAGAGCTTGGAATAGGATGAACCTGAACTTTCAACATGCCCACCAGCTCTATGGTTAGTTTCTGTCTCTTCCATTTTGCAAACAAATGCAAAAAGCAAGGAGATGGCTCTTGAAACTGAACCAAAGTTAGAATTAAGAAAAAAACATGCTGCCCAGTTTCATGCAATGCAGAAGTATCATCATTACAACTAGTTTTAAGATTTCGGAGCTAAGGTTTTCTCTATCCCTAGAGAGGAAGCATGATGGGAAGACGAGGGCACAGAAAAGTTCCCGGGAGGACCTGTGTTTGAATCCTTGCTCTCTCACTATGGAAGGCTAGATTATTGGTCAGGAAGTGTTCACTCCCATCCCGCCCCCACCTCCATGGGTGGATTTTGATATTGGGCTTGGCCATGTCTCTTGCTTTGGCCACTTAAGAGGGGATGGAAGTGACGGTTTGTGAGTTTCAAGCCTAAGCCTTAAGGAACATCACGTATTTCTGACCTCCACCATGAGAAGTGCTTGCCATGGGTATCTACCCAATCCCAGAAAAGCAACAGCCATGTGGAGCCAAATTGCCCTCACTGACCCATAGACCCACAGCTGCAACGGGAGAAATCAGTGCTTCCTGTTGAATGCTTGTTCGTTGTGCAGAAGTTGCTGACTTTTACAGCCGCTTACTAAATGGGTGTCCTTGCCAAAATTGCTTCCCTTCTTCAGGCCTCGGTTTCCTCATATGTAAATTGGGATAGCAATCGGACCCACTTTGAAGGTGGGTACTTTCCCCAGGTGGGGGCCTAGTGAAGGTGAGCACCAGGGAAGGTGCTGCCCATAAAACTATCAGCACAAAGCCTGAGATGTGGGAAGTGCTCAGTTAGTGTTGCTTCCTTACTCCTCATGCTCAGCACGTGGCAGATTGGGTACCATGTCTAAGTGAGTACGGCAAGTTGAGGCTATGCTGGGGTGGGATTCTGGGTAGCAGCAGAGTGGGTGGGGGTCCAGGTCAGGTGTCCCTGGGTAATGTGGTTGGGTGGCCCTGGAGGCAGGGATCAATTTCTTTCACTCTTACTCAGAAGTATGGAAGCAGGGGACTCTGATAGATGCCCCCGAGCAGGTAGTGATGTCTTCCCTGGGGAGGCTTCTGGGCTTGTTTCCCACCCATGATTCCCGTTCACTAGGAACAGCCCCCACTTGCCACCAGGCCAATCTTCCGCAGGCTGGCTGCCTTGGGGAGTTTAGCAGATGGAAGAGTGCTGGTGCTCTCCTGCTGAGCAAATCAATCCCTTTCGGCCATAGTGTCCTGGGCATAGTGGGGTCGAGGCCATTCCCACTGGTAGGGCCATCATTATCCTTGCGGCGTGTGATAAAGGTGCACCGGGAACAACTCCCTTATTGCCCAGAGTGTAAGAGCACAAATACCTGCAATTAGGAGGCCTAAAGCAGTTACCTCTCCCCATGTGGGGTCTCTTTATCTTGCTTTCATTCCCTTTCTTTTTCCTTGGCCATGACTGAGGGAGAAGGGCCGCTCCCACTGCCTTCCATTTGCATTTCTAGGGCATTTCTTCAAATAGGTCTTCTGCCTAAACTCCTCGGAAGGCTTCAAGACCCTTCAAGCTCTGGACCCAAACCGCCTTTCCTGTCCCTTCCTCTGTCCCTGTCACTGCTATGGCAGGGGCCACTCATGCCTCCATTAATTCAGACCCTACCCATGTTTGTTGTGTATCCTATGGGCACTGCAATGATCTGCTGAGGAAGGCAGAGTTTCTCCCCCTGAGCTCTTCACAGTCCTTGTAATGCTCTCCTCACTTTGGATGCTGCTCTCTGTGCTTGGAATGTCCTCCCTCCTTCCCTCTCTTTCTCCCTCCTTCCGGCCTACCTTCCTGCCTGCCTTCCTGCCTTCCTTCCTGCCTGCCTTCCTCCTTCCTTCCCTTCCCTCACGTCTCTCTCTCCCCAGCGAATAGTTATTCATCTCTTCAGTCCTTATTGAAATGGCACCTGCTTCGTGCAACCCTGCCATGTGTTATAAGCAGATCTGCTGTGATCCCAAAGAATTCTCTTTAGATTTTTTACATTGTGCTTGTTACATAAATGTCTCTAATGCACTATGATCTGTCTCCCCACCTAGGGAGTGAGAACCTCGTGGACAGAAAATGTGTTCTACTGATCTAGCTCGTGGCACCCAGGAGCTACTCAATAAACATTTGTGGAGGGAGTGAGCGAACAGCTGAATGAAGGTCTTGGGTTTTCACACTGCTGCCCACATCAGCTATCGGAAGCGCGTCCTTCGCGGTTCCCATGGAGCTGACGGGGCGGCAGTCAGCAGGGACGCTGCATTCCAAAGAGATGAAGCTGGAATTTCCCTCAGCCGCAAAATGGCTATCTGCCATTGGTCCCAACGAGACCCGTGCCGCTGGCTCTCCAGCCCCTTGTTTGCACCAGAATTGGTACCTGTTCCTGAGGAAGGCCACTCTTCCGTAGCATGGACCCCCGTGGGTCGGCAGCAGCCACGTCCCTTAACGCGAATCAGACCCATGTTGGGCGTGGGGCGGGGAGGAAAGTCCCACTAACAACTGAGTCTGCAGCTGGTGATCTGTTAGATTGGGCGTTGGGGCTTAATGTGCGATTTCATGGCTTTTCATGGTCTCTACACTGCAAATTCGAGATGATTTGAAAACACTATTTAATTTTCATGCTTTTTTAATCAAAAAAGTTAAAAAGACTAATAATATTGTATGGGCAGTTATAAAATGTGCTATTTGCACATGAGACAGAAATGTCTTCCTTAGATGAGCAACCCGAGTGTGCACTGGGGCTTTGGTGAGGACGGGTGCGCTAGTTTGGAGACAACTCATTCTTCCAGGTGATGTCTGTCGAGGTGCCCTGGGATTCTCCAAGTTCATTCACCACCCCACACCCCAACCTTTTCATGTGGAAGTGACTTGGCAGTGAGCACCTTGTGGGGAGGGCTGGGGTCAGGCCATCTTTATGTTTGGGGAGCCTCGCCTGGTGTTTGTCATGGGCAGGGGTGCAGAAAATGTTTTCTGAATGAATGAAGGAAAGAAGGAGGGAAGGGTTCTCCATACTCTCCCTCCAGCAGTCCAAGAGGAGACCTGAAGGCATTCACTCTTTTCCCCATCGCCACCGGAAGCAGAAGCAGCAGATACAGCTGAGCTCCTCGCTTGGTGGAAGGGCACGCCGAGGGGGTGTGGGTATAAGAATGTTGGCGTGCTGCTTTTACTTTGGTGAAGTCATTATTTACCTATTGCTTAATTCAAAATCCCAGACCCAGACGGACCCTAGAAACTGGAAGTTCGATTTCTTCACTTTAGAGATGAAGAAACAGAGTTAACATTGAAGAAGCTCCTTACTTAAGGACAAAGTTGGGACTTGAATCCCACTTTCCTGCTCCCTCCTAATTAGTTAAAAAATATTTTTTTCCCTGTACTACTTCTTTCGTCTCTTGGCGTGAGCTGAGCCTTTCCCAACTTCTGGGATTGCTTTGGGAGAAGTAGCACCTTTTTCCTTCTTCTCCTTTCAACTTTGCACAGCTCTCCCTTTTCTGCTTAAGGATTCTGGGGATAAAACACTCTGGAAACCCAAAGAAATGGACATAGTCCTCTAGAGCAGTGGATCACATATAGCAGTGCAGAAAGATGCCTCAACCTGAAAAGGGACCCAGCGACATAGAGAGGGAGATTTGGTCCAGCTCTGGAAATGTTGAGGTTGGATCCAAACTACCTGGTGAATGCTTTTTCAGTCATATAATTGGCGAAGCCCTAAATGTGGCCAGCTGACATGGTGGAGTTTGTCAGCTAGTGGAGTCCCCCAGCTCATTACCAATCCATGGGATAACGATGACCATCCTCATAATAATCATTATTGCCTTAGACAGGTGTGGATGACAAAGGCACCCCGGGGACATTCTTTTGAAATGAGCTGCTTCTTAGCCAACCCTGACTCTCCAGAGTGACTTTCTAGAGAATTAAAGGATCATGAAGCTGAAAGAGGCCCTCTGAGATCATCAGTTCTGGCTTGCTGCCTTCAGACAGGACTAACCTTTATAGAATAGTTGTTGTATAGGAAATTGAACCAAACTTACTTTTATATGTTATTCTTGTGATAGTATCTCTGTTGAGCATTCGATTAAGAAATGGGTTTGATGAATCAGAAACCTAGGAGAGAAAAGAAAATATTAATGACTAGGCAGTGCTATCTCGGAATAAATACTGCCTCCTTGCATTCAATTATTCATTCATATTCATTGAGTGCCTACCATGTGCCAAACAACATGGTGGCTGGAAATTCAGACATTAAATGCACACACTCTACTCTCAAGAAATCCTAGTCTAGAGAAAGAAGACAGGTGAGTAAATGAATGGTTATAATAGAGTGTGAAGATTGCTATGATAGAGTTGCAGGCATGATGATATTAGGGGAAGACCACCCACGTGGGGAATCTGGGGAGCTGAGTGAGCTGGGTCTTGAAGGATGGGTGGAAACTACAAGGTGCTTTGCTCATAGAATGTAGAAAGGAAGAAGGGTAAGGAAAAAATTGCATCTAGAAGATCTGTGCATATGGACATGAGAGAGTGAGAACTAGTTATGCTCCAGCAAGTACTTCCATGTAGCTGTTACTGAGGGTATGGGGGAAGGATGGAGGGTGAGGCAAGACAGGTAGGCAGGGGCTAGCTCATATCAGGCTTTGAATGTCATGGGAGGATATTTAAGCTTCATTCTGAAGGGATGAGGAACCATCAAAGAGTTTTAAGTAGAGGAGTGACATTTTAGGAAGGGGACAGTTATTCTAAAGACAGTGAGAGAGAAAGAGTACCCAGAATAGTGGTATCAGGGGATGAAAAAAAAATCTCTAAGAAATAATTTAAAACCTTATATAACTGCTTATTACAAGAATCAAGTATATCATAAGCCATGCCATTGTGTCAACCAATCATCCATCCATCCATCCATCCATCCATCAATCCATCCATCCATCCATCCATCCATCCATCCATCCATCCATCCATCTATCCATGCACCCATACATCCAATAAATATTTACCAAGTGCCTATTAGGGGCCAAACATTGTACTAGATGTCCAGGGATCAGTTCCCATTTTATGTCCATGCCCTCAGGTCTCCAAATTCCTTCTTTGGGAGAACAAGGCAAGGTTCAAGGGGCTCAAGCCAGAGGACCACCATTTGGAAATTGTGATGTGCTCCCACATAACCGTGTACACTGTTTCTTAACAACCTCCCTTCTACTCAGTCTTTTCCAAGGCACAAGGGTTCATCTCAGTCAGTTCTCTCCTACCTCTCTCAGCTCTGCTCTGTAATTTACGCCTCAGCTGTTAATCGGATGCTGTGACACATCAGCATTTTAAATCTGATTTATTCTGAGGGTTGGAAAAATTGCAGCAGATGATTATTATTATTAGATAAGCAACAGGTAATTTTTAGTTTGGAGAAAGCACAGACTGTTTATTTTCCCTCCATCTGTCTCTCCTTTCCCACACGGTTTCCTGGATGTGTTGTGGTGAGACACACATGGTGGTGGGGGGGAAGCGTGATGAGTGAGAATGCTCGGTGGAGTTTGTCAGAGCCACCCCCAAATGGAGAAAAGTCCCAAAGCAAACACTGTCGCTCCCCAGAAGCTTTAGTGTCAAATTTAGCTTCTCCTTTGACCTCCTCTTTGGCCATTTAAAACATAGCTTGATGCCGCCTGTTTGGGCCAATTCACATGGAAGGAGAGACAAAAATATATTGTTACGGCTAGTAAGGAATCTGCCATGCCCCTTAATTAGGTGCCTTGGGCTCCTGGTATCCGGTGAGTCTGAGCAGCACTAATGTTGGGACTGGACCTTTTGAACTGATTAAAAATAATAGAAAAATTTCCAGAGTGCACACAGATGATTTGTGGGCTCTGGTGTGTTGGCGGCGTGGGAGGGAGGATAAAGTATGTACTTGGTATAAGTGAGCTTAAGTGGGAAGTTAATGGTGTGTGATTGAGCAGTAATTACAGCCAAATCTCAGTTCCCTGTGGTCATGGAAAGGATGGGGGATTAGGAGGGAACAGAGATAAATAAAACACACAGATAAACAATTCTCTTATTTTAGCCAACAACTCCAACCCTTCTATGGCTCAGTTTTTGGCCAGGGTGCCTTCTCTAGGGATTCAGCTGACCCAGAGGAGGTGCCTCTCATTTTCTGTGCCTGCCTACCCTGCAGTGACCTTCGCTGGGAAGGGGGGGGCAGAAAGATCAGAAGGAGGGGAGGACCACCAGAGGTTGGGTGCCCTTAGAGCCAAGGGCTCTGTTCATCTCATTTCTAGGCACATGCCTAGCATAGGACAGGCCCATGTCCCACACTTAGTCGGTGTTTTGGGATGAGTGAGTGACAAGTCTCAGCTTGGATAACTCACTGTGGAGCATCTGGGAGTTGATTAAGTTGGACAAAGAGAGAAATGCTGTGACTTATTCTGAGATCCAACGAGAAAGCTTCAGGTTTGCTCAGGGAAAGAATGGAAGCATCCCTAGGGGGCCAAACTGGCCTGAGAAGATGCAGGAGCTGGCCCCCGAACTTTCACTGACTGCAGGGGTGGGGACATAAGTTCCTCCCAACAGCCCGCTGGGACACAGCCGGGACCTGCGTCAGTAATCTCCCTGCAAGAGCTTGTGAAACACGCCCATGGTCTGCTGTTGAGGAGACTAACTTCCTGGCGTATCAATCACCCTGTCAGCTGGAACGTGCCTGAGCTTCTGGGATGACATCCACTGACTCGAGCGCTTTAAGCAAAGTGAGGCACAGTCAGGGGCCTAAGCTGAGGCACCTGCCAAAGGACAGGCGGTGTTGGGCAGCTCAGGTTGGCCGACATGGAACCCAGGCACGGGGAAGGCCAACGAGGCAGGTGAGCTCCTGGACACTCACAAGGCAATACTGTGACATATCGGCAGGCTTCCCAGCAACGAGCATGGCCCAGGATGAATGCACAGGTTGTGTCAACGTCATGATCGAGGCTGGTCGAGGGAGATAGAGTTTGCCCTGTGCTTGTGGGTGGCATAGGGGCATGGGGGAAGATGTTTGCAAATGTCATGATCTCTCTTCTTCATCTCAGTTGCTTTCTCCAAGCTCTGTTGGGGAGGCATGTGGTATGAGGAAGGTCATTAGTGTGAAAGTCAAGCAAGACCTGGGCTCCTTTCCTGGATGGGCTGTTAGAAGCTACATGCACTTGGGTGGAATGCAAAGATTCTCTGAGCCATTTTCTTCATCATAAGGATGCTGGTGCCCGCCCCACAGGTTTATTATTAGGGTTAAGTCATAAAATATATGTAAAGTATGTCTCTCAGTGCCTGGAATTCAGAAATCTGCTGTTCATTATAACTGGGTCTGTGATGATGCCAAGAGGTGTAGAGTAGGGACTGGCAGGATCTCTGCCAGAACCAATGTCCTTTGGGTGTCACATCAGGTACTCAGAAGGTATGAAAGCCCAAAAATATGCTTTCCTGGCCAAAACCCCTTCCTGTCTTTGCTAATGACAGCTGCAGGAGTTGAGTGGCCAACAGATACCTCTGGCCAATGTTCAGCTCTGCCCAGGCCACAAGAAGGCCCGATGGGACCCCCATGAGGGAGAAGAACTCAGGAGGTGGCATGCACTCTAGAGAGGGAGGACCAGGCAGGGCCAAGTGCCTGTTGCAAAGGGTGATGATGCTTTGGGAGAGGAAATGGGGGTAATGCCTGGGGTGTCCCCGTGCCCAGTCTCCTGAGCAGTGATCATGTCACCACAAGAACTCTGTTAAAACCCCCCAGTGGCAAATGCTGGATTTCTACTGATCATATTCACCAGATTCCAAGTTCTGACGGGTCTGGCCTCTCGTGGTCTGGCCAAAACTGCCCAAGAGGCTAGCACAGTGACTGCCAACTTTTGGAACTGTCACACATTCCTTTTGTTTTCTCTCTCTTTTTTTCCCAATTGGAAAGACATTTCTTCTTTTTTCGTTTTCTTTTAAATTTGCATACCTGCTTCCCTCCGTATCTGTCAAAATGTTAAAGGTGATTATTATTATGATGATTTTTAACAAACTGGAATTTTCTTGGTTGGAGATCTGTTGTTGTCATTGACTGTTGGGGAGAGGTGGAGCCTCCTGAGAATGTCATAAACTCAGCCTTCATGATCTCTCCTTAATTTCTCCCAGGGGTGCTTACGAGGGAAAGGAAGAGGAAGATGGGAGGTGTGGTTCAGAGCAACTTCAGGGAAGCTGGAGGGGGCTGTTCAGGGCAGGACCTGGAGGGGAGGGACATCTCACATTTCCCTTCTATCTCTGTTTCCAAGGGGCCACTGAGGGACAGGAGCTTAATGCTGTGGGGTGTCAGTGAGCCACCCCTCCTCTTCTGTTGCATCCTTTTGCACGATGTGGGACCTGAAGACTGTCGTTGGCTCCAGCTCCCCTTTTCTCTCTAGAACAAAGGTTGCTGAATCCTCAGGCTCTGGAGCTTTGAAATGGAGCCATCGTTTCTGCATCTTCGTGAAAGGGACCTCATGTGTCACAAATCTCATGGGTATAAAAGTCACCATCCCGAAGCTTTTCTTGGGCACGGACCTCACCCCTTTGGTTATTTCTGAGATCCAACAGAGACTGAGCTGGTATTCTGACCGGGCTGGGAATGGCAAGAAAAGAATGAAAGAATGCAAGACACTTACTTTTATAAATATAGAAACTACCACCAATCCATTAGGGCTCTTTGCAGCTTCTGTGACATTTGTATATAACTCATGGTTATAGTGGATGAGCTGCACCTGGCAAGAGGGAAAAACAAGAGTAAGAACAACAACCTCCCCCAAACAGGTGTGAGGCACAGCATCTCCACCCGACATAAGGGTTAATTTTAAGGTACACTGTAGAACAATCGTAAAGACAATGTTGTAATTGAAAGGGATTCAGGGAGGTGTGTGTGCATGTATGTATGTGTGTGGGGTGTATATAAAATGCACACACACACACACACACGGATATACAAAAGTACCCATACATCTTTGCAAATGTTTTCTGGTAACAATCATGCCTTTAATAAGCTCTGCCCATCTGGCTCTGGCTCTGTCCCAGGATATTTCCCCTAAAGCGTGTGCAAAGTGAATTTCTCTTATTAGGAGTGGAACTGCCCTGCAGGGGCAGACATGCCCTCCTGGCTGCATCCATAGTTGCCACTGGCACTGAGTGAATCTTCCCCCCATGGCCTTGGGCAAGCAGGGAATGGTTAGGTTCTGAGTCAGCCCAGTGACTCTGGGAGGACAGTGGCCAGCCTGTGAGATGCAGCATTCCTGATAAAGAGAGTGATGGCTCAGGCTGCGGATGCCCCAGCCTGCCAAGGTCATCTGCTTGTGCAGGACTCAACTTCCTCCTTGCTCAGTGAAGATCAGCAATCTGTTTGTTAAGCCTTTGTGCAATGGTTAGTGTAAGTAGCAAATGAAGTCTTGGATCTGGGCTCCAGGAAACTAGGTTTTCCCTAATTTTTAAAAAATGCTTTTCTAAAGAATTGTGAAACATAGCATACATATATGTTTAAACGAATGCCCCACAAATTTTTAGCCACATGGGTAATTTACTCCATCTCACTGAGACTTGGTTACTTCCTCTGAAAAACAGGTGTGATTGTCTCTCCTTAGAATTCATCTCAGGCTGTGGTTTTAAAATAGATTTTTTTTTTTAACAGTATGGAAGTATAATTTTTGTAACAAACTAAAAAAAAAAAAAAAAAGTGAGAGTTCTTCCCCCACCTCTGTGCAATCCCAGCCCAAGCAATATGACTATTAACAGTTTAGCATATGTCCTTCCTGATATTTTTTGTGCTTATAGATCACACACATATACATGGAGGGTTTAAAAAATTATAAAAGATCCAGGATCTATAAATATCTAGGATAGATAAATTCTTAGAAACATACAACCTACCAACACTGAATCAAGAAGAAATAAAAACCTAAACAGATGAATACAAATAAAGAGATTAAAGTAATAATCAACCCCCCCTCCCAACAAAAAGAAGCCCCAGACCAGGTTTTGTGGGTAAATTCTACCAATCATTCAAAGAAGAATTCATACTGATCCTTCTTAAACTCTTCCAAAAAATGGGAAGGAGAGAGAATACTTCCAAACTCATCTTACGAGGCCAACATCATCCTGACACCAAACAAAGCCAGATACTTTAAGAAAAGAGAACTACAGGCCAATATCCCTAGTGAGCAAAGATGCAAAAACACCAATGGAATAGTAGCAAGCTGAATTTAACAACACATTGAAAGGATTATACATCATGACCAAGTAGGATTTATTCCTGGGATGCAAGGATGGTTTAACATATGTAAATCAATCAGTGTGATACACCACATTAACAGAATGAAAGATAAAACCAATACGACCATCTCAATAGATTCAGAAAAAGCATCTGACAAAATTCACCATCCTTCATGATAAAAACTCTCAACAAAACAGGTATAGAAGGAACTTACCTCAATGCAATAAAAGCCATATATGAAAAGCCCATAGCTAATACAATCAATGGGGAAAAACTGAAAACTTTCCTCTAAGACAAGGATACCCACTCTTGCCACTTTGATTCAACATAGTGCTGGAAGTCATAGGCAGAGCAATTAGATAATAAAAAGAAATAAAAGGCATCCAAATCAAAAAGGAAATTAATAAAGTCAATTCCATTTACAATTGCAATAAAAAGAATAAAGTACAATTGACCTTGAACAACACAGGTTTGAACTGAGCTGGTCCACTTACATGCTGATTTTTTTTTTTAAATACAGTACAATATTGTAAAGGTATTTTCTCTTATGATTTTCTTAATAGCATTTTCTTTTCTCTAGCTTACTTTATTGTAAGACTATATAGTAGTGTACCAAACATGTGTTAATTGACTATGTTATCAGTAAGGCTTTTGGTCAACAGTAGGCTATTAGTAATCAAGTTTTTGTGAAGTCAAAAGTTATACAGGGATTTCTCACTGCATGGGGGGAGTTGGTGTCCCTAACTCTCGCATTATTCAAGGGTCAGCTGTACTTAGGAGTAAGCTTAACCAAAGAAGTGAAAGACTTGTACACTGAAAACTATAAAATATTGATGAAGGAAATTAAAGAAGACATAGATAAATGGAAAGACATCCCATGTTCATGGGTTGGAAAAATTAATATTGTTAAAATGTTCATACTACGGGGCGCCTGGGTGGCTCAGTTGGTTAAGCGACTGCCTTCGGCTCAGGTCATGATCCTGGAGTCCCGGGATCGAGTCCCGCATCGGGCTCCCTGCTCAGCGGGGAGTCTGCTTCTCCCTCTGACCCTCCCCCCTCTCATGCTCTCTCTCTCTCATTCTCTCTCTCAAATAAATATGGGATCTTTAAAAAAAAAATGTTCATACTACTTTCAGCTCAATCCCTATCAAAATTCCAATGGCATTCTTTACAGAAATAGAAAAAATATTCCTAAAATTAATATGGAACCAAAAAAGACTCTGAATAGTCAAAGCAATCTTGAATAAGAACAAAGCTTCCTGGTTCCACAAAGTATGATACTGACATAAAAACATACGTATAGACCAGTGAAACAGAACAGAGGGCCCAGAAATAAATCCACACACTTATGGTCAACTAATCTTTGACAAGGATGCCACGAATACACAATGGGCAAAGGATAGTCTCTTCAGTAAAGGATGTGGGGAAAACTGGATATCTCCTAAAGAAGAATGAAATTGAACCCTTATCTCATGTCATATAAAAAATTAACTTAAACTGGATTAAAGACTTACATATAAGACCTGAAACTGTAAAACTAGTAGAAGAAAACATAGGGAAAAAGCTTCTTGACATTCAGTGGTCTTGGCAATGATTTTTGGGTCATGACACCAAAAAGTACAGGCAATAAAAGCAAAAGTAGGCAAGTGGGACTGTATCCAACTAAAAAGCTTCTGCATAGCAAAGGAAACAAAACAGTGAAAAGGCAACCTACAGAGTGGGAGGAAATATTTGCAAACCATGTATCTGATAAAGAGTCAATATCCAAACTATATAGGGAACTCAAACAACTCAATAGCAAAAACCCAAATAGCCTGGTTAAATACGGGCAAAGGGCTTGAATTGACATTTCTCAAAATAAGACATATAAATGGCCAAAAGGTACATGGAAAGGTGCTCAACATCACCAGCCATCAGGGAAATGCAAATCAAAACCACAATGAAATATCACCACACACTTGTTAGAATGGCTATTATCAAAAAGACAAGAGACTACAAGTGTTGGTGAGGATGTAGAGAAAAGCAAACCCTTGTACACTGTTGGTAGGAAGGCAAACTGGTATATCACCATTATGGAAAACAGTATGGAGGTCCCTCAAAAAATTAAAAATAGAACTGCCATATGATCCAGCGATTCCACTACTGGGTCTGTATCCAAAGCAAATGAAATCTGGATCTCAGAGAGACATCTGCAGTCCCATGTTCATTACAACATTATTCACATTAGCCAAGATATGGAAATAACCCAAGTTTCTGTTGATGAATGAATGGATAAAGAAAATGTATAAAGAAAAATAAGATGGAATATTAGTCACCCATAAAAATGAAGGAAATCCTGCCATTTGTGACAATATCGATGAACCAGGGGGACACCATGCTAAGTGAAAAGCCACACCCAGAAAGACAGATACTGTATGGTCTCACTTATGTATAGAACCTTAAATAGTCAAACTCACAGAAACAAAGAATAGCTTGGTGGTTGTCAGGGGCTGGGGGGAAACAGAAATGAGATGTTGGTCAAAGGGTACAAAGTTTCAGTTATTCAAGATAAGTGAGTTCAGGGGCTTTGAGTACAGCCTGGTGATGATAGTTAGCAATACTGTATTGCATACTTGAAATCTGCTAAGAGCATAGATCTTAAATTAAATCATCTTTACATACACACACAATAGTAACTATGTAGAGGTGGTGGATATGTTATTTAGTTTGTGGTAATCTAATATATTCATGTATTCATATATCAAAATATCAAGTTGTACACTTTAAACATACATAATTTTTATCGGAGAAATCTCGAAAAGTTGTTAAAAAATAAAAAATGAATGGAATTATCTATAATTATAATTATATTATATAATATATATAATTATATATTATAATTCTTTATAATTATGATCCTGAACTTGATTTTTTAAAATTTAAAAATAGTTTGTGGCTATCTTTCGAAGCCAGTTTGTATAGAGCTACCTAAGTTTTTATAACAGCTGCAGAATTTTCTTTTGCACGAACGCCGAATGCCCCGTGACACATTTAACGATCCTCTCACTGGCTTTCAGTTTGTTTCCAGTTCTTCTTTCGTCTTGTAACAATGTCACAGAAAACTCAGCTATATCTGTCTGTAGCAGTGTGAACATTTTCCACAGGCTGATGGGAGAATCTAATAAGACAGTGCCTGTAAAAGTGATTTGTGACTCCGAAAAAGTGTAAGTGTATTCATTATTACCAATATCCTGTATTGTGTTAAAAAAAGGAGGTAAAGTTTTAGAAGCTGAGAAAGTCAATGATTTAAAAAAAAAAAAAGTGCTTTTCTTTGATCTTTGGAAAAAAACCACCTCTAACACAGTGGTTTGCAACCTTCACTGTGCATTTAAATCACCTGGGTGCTTTTAATACCCACCTGTGCCTGCTCTCCTGATTCTGATTTCATTGATTTGGAGTGGGAACAGGGCATGGAGATTTGTTAAATGCTCTCCAGCTAGCGGGCAGCTGGAGTGGAGAGCCAGT